GAGGAAATTTGGCTTCTCTTCTGTGTGTTGCTGATGGCACCCCGACCCCCACTGTGTCCTGGCTCAAAGATGGGATGACTCTAATTCCTGACCCCCATCTCAAATTCCTCAACCTGAACACAACTGTGAAAATTATCCAGGCCCAGGTCAATGACACAGGACGTTACACCTGTGTGGCTAACAATACTGCTGGTCAAGTTAGCCGCCACTTTAACCTGAAAGTGCTGGGTGAGTAAAAGCATATCGTAGCTCTTATTCTCCAGCTTCATCTTTTGATTCATGGATAAAAAGTTTTTTTTTTTTTTTATGTTTTCTTTCTTTCTCAGACCCTCCACGCATCAAGGGCTCTGGTGTTCCATCAGAAGTATCTGTTGTGGTTAATAATGTCCTGGAGCTTCAGTGTGAGGCCACAGGTATCCCTACTCCCTCTTTGACCTGGCTGAAGGATGGACGCCCGCTCCCACAGACAGACAGCCTACGCCTCCTGCGGGGAGGAGAGGTGCTCCGTGCAGCCTCGGCACAGGTCAGTGACCAGAGATTGTTGCAGTGAAAAAACACTTTTAATTTTCTCTTATCTATAAAAATACAAAAACAAAAACAAAAAATACTTTAATTGCATTTACTGTCTATGATAACATATGTGGAGTGTTTGTGGGTCTTTTTCCATTGTTTTCATACTTTGTCACACTACTCAGCTGGAGGACACAGGCAGATACAGCTGCTTAGCCAACAGTCCAGCAGGAGATGATGACAAAGAGTTTCTGGTTCGAGTGCATGGTGGGTAACATAGATGTGTAATACACATTGCAGTGTGCACTGTACTTAACATTGTTAAAACAATCTATGGCTTGAAAGTAATTTACCTATAGTACATGTATAAAAAAGCATGATTCAGTCAGTCTCTATTTAATTTAAAAAAATGTTTTACTAATAATTCTTCTGTTATGCTTGTCTAGACAATTATTATATAATAAGGTGAGATGATTAGGCTATAAAATCCATATCAGTGCCGGTCTCTTTCTGGTTTTCCTGTAACAGTTCCCCCTAACATTGCGGGGGAGAGTACACCTCAGGACGTCTCTGTGCTACAGAACAGACAGGTGACTCTAGAGTGCAAGTCCGATGCTGTTCCACCACCAACTCTGACCTGGCTCAAAGATGGCCAACCGTTGCAGGTCAGAAATCAAACAGACAAACACAATGCTATGACTTTCACCAAAATGTATTGACAAATTACTTTTTATCTTTTTGTAGGCCTCTGCCCGTGTGCGTATTCTGTCCGGTGGCCGCTACTTACAGATCAACATGGCTGAGCTCAGCGACAAAGCTCAGTATACCTGTGTGGCCAGCAACATCGCTGGCAAGACTACGCGACAGTTTAACCTGGCTGTTAATGGTACAATTACATATTTTATCTACAACTTATGTACATATAGAGATGCTGTATATCCTTTCTTACAGAGCTAAAGAAGAGGAGCATTTGTCTTTTTCCAGTTCCCTCTGTAATTAGTTATAGAGCTGAATTACGCAGCTACAAATGAGTACCATATCTGTCACCTGTCCCCTCAGTGGCCCCAACTATCAAGGAAGGCTCCCAGGCAGTATCAGTACACATCAACAAGCCAGCAGTGCTTGAGTGTATTGTAAGTGGAGTGCCATCGCCTCGCGTAACCTGGAGGAAACATGGTGCAGTACTGGCAGGAAACAACCACAGGTAAATCAAATGTCATATACTAATGGGTTTTTTTCCTGATTCTGTCTCAATGAATATTATTTTTATTGTTATACATATATATATATATATATATATATATATATATATAACAGGAGTAGATTACAACAACGCAATTATTGGTATTTCCTCGATGCTGTACTTTACCCAGTTTGTACAAACATGTGCAGGTACACATTTGCAGAGGATGGGTCATTACACATCCACTCTGCTCAGGTGACCGACACTGGCCGTTACCTGTGTATGGCAACAAATCAGGCTGGGACGCAACGCAAGAGAGTGGATCTGCAAGTGTATGGTGGGTGGTGAATACGTACATACAAAACCTACAAATGCAGTCACCTTGTATTTTTTTAATCCTTGTTTCTCATCTTTCAGTCCCTCCTTCCATCGCTGATGGCCGCACCAATGTCACAGTTACAGTGAACGTTCAGACCGCCTTGTCCTGTGAGGCCACCGGCATACCCAAACCCACAGTCAGCTGGATGAAGAATGGCCGAGCAATAAATACTGACCAGAACCAGAATATGTACAGGTTGATCCAGGTTTTCTCCCTCTCTGTTTTCTAATTCAAGACAAAACTGGAATTTAAGAAACATTTATTCAACTTAGACCAAATTGAAAGCTTTATTGACTGAACAATTTATGAACCTTTTTAAAAATATATATATCTTAATCATTTTGACATTTTTGTAGGGTTTACATCATAGTGAGACTAACCTTTTTTGTTATTTTCAGATTACTATCATCAGGTTCCCTGGTAGTTATAGCACCGACAGTGGAGGACACAGCAGTTTATGAATGTGTGGTCTCTAATGAGGCAGGGGAAGAATCCAGATTCATCAACCTCACTGTCCACGGTAATTATTTTGCCATCTTCCCTAATATTGTATCATAATGTAATGTTTCTGTGCTTAACACTTTTTAACATTTCCTTTAGATCAGCCATCATGGCAAGATCAGATATTTGCCTTACATTTTCTAACTTGTGTCTCTTCAGTTCCTCCATCTATAGCAGATGAACCCACAGAGCTTGTGGTAACCAGACTGTCCCCAGTGGTCATCGCCTGTACTGCATCTGGCGTTCCAGAGCCCACAATCCACTGGAGCAAAGATGGCATGAAGCTTCCCAAAGAGGGACGGGGCTACAGCATCCTGTCCACAGGTCGGAATTATATTAATGCAAATAGCATCCAGACATACCCAACTCTATAAACGGCCTTTAAAAATACTTAAATATGTTACTCACACACTCTTTTATTACTATTGATAATGTTTTTGTAGTCTTGCTAAATTTTGAGGAAGGCTACTAGTGTGACTCATCTAATTATGCAGTAAAAATAATACTAAGTGATAAATGTGTCAGGTTACTTTATATGTAACTATAGATAACACGTTTTAAATCTGTAATCGTCATCGCTTGTAAGCTTTACTGATTATGTTGATTGTTGTTGTGTGATGATCTGTGCTCAGGTCCAGTCGAAATAACCTCAGCTGAGCTCAGTCATGCGGGACGCTATTCTTGCACAGCCAAGAACGCTGCAGGCTCCACCCACCGCCACGTGCAGCTCACAGTGCAGGGTAAGAAAAACATCCTGAGAAACAATATACCAAAACACACACACACACACACACTACTGTTTGGAGTCTCTGCAGAGTGAAACAAGACAAAAAATTCATTCCTTTCCTCAGAGCTCCCAGTGATCCAGTCTCATCCGTCCACCCTGGATGTGATCCTGAATAACCCCATCACTCTGCCCTGTAGGGCCACAGGCTCGCCCAGACCCACCATCACATGGCAGAAGGAGGGCATCAATATACCCACCACAGGTAATAAATCCTGTCTGTGTGTGTGTGTGTGTGTGTGTGTGTGTGTGTGTGTGTGTGTGTGTGTGTGTGTGTGTGTGTGTGTGTCAGTAATCCTAATTAATCAGTCATAACATTGTGTCTCTTGCTTCATGCCAGGTGGAAGTTTCACAGTGCTGCCTAATGGAAGTCTGCAGATCTCTAAGGCCTCTGTGTCAGACTCTGGAACATACATCTGTGTGGCTCAAAACCCTGCAGGCACTGCACTGGGCAAGACCAAACTCAGAGTACAAGGTGGGGCACACACTCAAGTAATGGTAACTTGATTAGCAGACGTACTATGTAATATTCAGCCATTCTGTAGAGGAATGTAAGAAGAACAACTTACAATCCAAACACTGATGTCAATAAATATTCTAAATGTTTTGCCTGCATGTGGTATTTCCTATTTGCTCTGTCCTGCAGTCCCTCCAGTGATCAGCTCAGAGACACAAAAGTACCTGGCACCTGTGGACTCCTCTGTGACGCTATTGTGCCAAGCTAATGGCTCCCCTCCCCCCTCTGTCACATGGCATAAAGACGGGCAGCCGCTCAGTGAATCTGTACGCCAGCGGGTGCTCAGCTCAGGATCCTTGCAGATTGCCTTCATCCAGCCAAGTGATACTGGACGATACACTTGCACCGCTGCCAATGCAGCGGGCACTGTCAGCCTCGAGATGAGCCTCACTGTACAGAGTAAGTTTCAGTCAATACAGTATTTTAAACCACATCACTGAACACCACACAACATGTTTGTGGTGTTACACAAACATAGAATTTCTTTATTTTGTAACAATCTAACTTGAGGGCTGCCAATCACCTCTGTGATATCTCTATATGTTTATAGAACAAGACCAATGTTTTGAAATGAATGTGATAATGAAAAATAAAACCCTGTGCCTTTTCAGTACCACCTTCCATACGTGGTGGAGAGCAGGAATTAGCAGTGGTGGAAAACAGTCAGACTCAGCTGGTGTGTGTGGCAGAAGGCGTTCCTCAGCCCAGCCTCTCCTGGGAGAAGGATGGTAATCCTCTCATTGAAAGCACAGGGGAGTACACGATCCTGCCCTCTGGAGAACTGGTAATAGACATCGCTCAGGTAAGCATAATTTTTCTGTTTGTCTATGCCTATAGATTGTTGGAAAGTGAAACCTGCTTGTATTAAATTTAGCGTATGTGGCTGTGGTTCTATTCAAGTGTTGTTTACAGCTCTGCTACCAGTAATGCATGTTGCCTTGACACTAGCCTAGCTTGTCTTGAGTCAAAAAGATGCATTTAAATATGTTTTGCATGTTCCCACTCTCCTCATCTCCCCTCCCTCTATACCAGTCTAATGATGCAGGTATTTACACCTGCATAGCCACAAACTCAGTCGGACAGGACAGTCAGACAGTGACCCTGTCTGTTCACACTCACCCTGTCTTCACTGAGCTGCTCGGAGATGTGGCCCTCAACAAGGGAGAGCGCCTCCTGCTGTCCTGTGGAGTCAGTGGCATCCCTCCACCCAAAATCACATGGGCCTTTAACAACAACATCATCCCAGGTATATAGCAAGATCCCCTTTGATAAGGAAAATGTTTTATATTGAAGTTTTTTACTGAAAAATCAAATATCATAGCAACATTATTTTTTATGTAGCTGTTTGTCATATATTACAATAAAGGCTTTTAACTGCATTTTTAATGATTGTCTTTTCCTACCTTTTGTTAATGCTTTAGTGCATTACGATCATATGAACGGCCACAGTGAGCTGGTGATAGAGAGGGTGAGCAAAGACGACTCTGGTACCTATACCTGTGTGGCAGAAAACAACGTAGGAACCATAAAGTCGCTGGGCTTTGTCTATGTCAAAGGTAAAACCACACTGCCATGAAACTATTGACTCAACTTCATTTTACTTATGTAACACTTTGAATAATAAATATTTATTAATGTATGGTTGTTGTCAACAACCTTAACTCCTCTCATGAGTACCCATAGGTGGAGCCTGGTTTATTAACGAATGACAATATAGTAAAACACAGTTGTAATAATATAAAAATGTGTCTTCATAGGAGAAGTTATAATTGTTGACAAATACTGTAGATAAATTAACACTTTTAAAAAAGTCTATAAGCCATTAAAGCAAGTTCTTCTGTCCATCTCCAGAGCCTCCTATTATTGATGGGGACCTGCACTCCAACCGTATTGAACCTCTGGGAGGAAATGCCATCCTGAATTGTGAGGTTCGGGGAGACCCCCTACCCACCATCCGGTGGAGCAAAAGTGGAATAAACATCCAGATCAACAACCGCATCCGTCAGCTGCACAACGGCTCTCTGGCCATCTATGGCACAGTGGTAGGAAAACCCATAAGACTGAGACCTCCTATGTGCAATACTGTGTGTATAATGTTAATAAAAAAGTGCTCTGGTGGTTCAGTGGTTCAACATGGATATCATGTAAACACAACTTCCTTTTTCAATGTCCTTATTTGTAAACAAATATATTATAAGTGTGCAGCTTTTCAGACGGCATTTATAAAGTGTATATATACATTTAAGAACTTATTTGTGATTATGATAACAAAATGTGTTTCCATTAAATGTTATGCAGAGTGAAGATGCAGGCAACTACATGTGTGTTGCAACAAATGATGCTGGGGTGGTGGAAAGGAGTGTCACACTCACCTTGCAGAGTAAGTGTCCTGTTACTCCAGTGATTTAGTATTTCACCTTAAACAGGGACATAATCAGGGAATCTTTTCTCATTTATAATTGTCTGTTAAACTGATGTTGATGTGTGGAATCAGTGGAATTCCAGCTTACATGGATCTGTCCTTTTTTCCAGGTGCACCCACAATCACAGTGGAGCCAGTGGAGACAGTGGTGGATGCTGGCACCACAGTTGTGCTCAACTGTCAGGCGGATGGTGAGCCTACCCCCATGATTGAATGGTCCCGCCAGGGGCGCCCCTTGCTGGGCAATGACCGCTTCTCCACCCTGTCCAACGGTTCCCTCAGGGTCAGCAGTGCCCAGAAGGAGGACACCTCTGAATATGAATGTGTGGCCAGAAACCTGCTGGGATCAGTGCTGGTCAGGGTCACTTTTACTGTGCGAGGTGAGCTGGATTTTTTTTGTTGTACCATATTTTTGAGTCAACTTCCATTAACAAATGTAACCAAATGACTGAAGGCATGTGGTGTTAATGTGCATTCATTTGTTTTCCAGTTCACGGGGGCTACTCGGAGTGGGCAGAGTGGGGTCCTTGCAGTGTGTCCTGTGGTGTCGGGCTCCAGAAGAGGCTGAGACAGTGTAACAATCCTCTACCTGCCAATGGAGGGCGTCACTGTGCAGGATCAGATACAGAGTCACGTAGTTGTCAGGGAAAGCCCTGTCCAGGTGAGATTTCTCTCAGTACTTGTAAAGAAAACTGTGCAAATTGCATATGTGGAAACAAAATCTGTACCTCTGTCCCTCTACAGTGGATGGTAACTGGTCAGAGTGGTCTCTCTGGGAGGAGTGTTCTCGTACCTGCGGCCAGGGCAACAGGACCAGGGTCCGGACCTGCAGTAACCCACCTGCTCAGCATAGAGGCAGGCCTTGTGAGGGGAAGGCAGTGGAGGTCATCATGTGCAGTGTCAGACCTTGTCCAGGTCAGTAATCAAATATGTTTTCTGTAAATGCAGTAGAAGACAGTCAGCTGTGTGAATAGGAGCTGCAACTGGCAAGAATGTGTCTAATCTCAACTGGATGTCTCATACAAAACAGCTGTTATCTGAAAATCCCATATTTGTCTTTTCCTAACTTCTAAATACTAAAAGTGACTGTGACTGAAAGTCAGTGCTAAATAATCTTCTGTGGTATTTATCTCAACTGTGTAATTGCCTATAATAAATTGCATATTTACCAGGAACAGGCTTTATTTGCACATTTTATTTTTGATCTTAATAAACAAAGGATTATGGACCAGTATTGAAAATCTTATTTAAGTAAAAGTACACGTGTAATCATCAAAATGTACTTTTCAAAAGTGAAAGTACTTAGAAGGCAGAACATTTAGTCATGTGAGTTTTTACTGGATTATCATTACTGATGCATTTGTGTGTGTGTGTAGCATTTAATGTTGAGTTGGAGCCAAATTGAAGAACAGTGCTTGAGGAAATGTGCCAGTTATTTTTCACCACTGGGCCTAAATATGTAACTATAGTCCTGTATGTATCTGCGTATACTCCCGCAGTGGCGGGTAACTGGGGGTCTTGGCTACCGTGGAGCCCATGCAGTGAGACCTGTGGTAAGGGTATGCAGTCCAGAATCCGGCTGTGCAACAACCCTCCTCCAGCATTTGATGGGCCGCAGTGTGACGGCTCAGACACCCAAACACAAGTGTGCAAGGAGAGACCTTGTCCTGGTGAGGGCTAAGGGATATGACTTTACAATAAAATTAGTCTTTTTGTTCCCCAGTGGATAAAAGAGTCATTACTTAAATTAAGTAAGTGACTAATTCTCCTGCTTCATCTTTTCCTCTTGTGCCCTGCAGTGGATGGAAAGTGGTCATCCTGGGTGAGCTGGGGAGCCTGCAGTGTTTCATGTGGAGGTGGGACCAGACAGAGGACACGTCTCTGTGCCAGCCCCTCCCCTCAGCATGGTGGCAGGCAGTGTGAAGGCAATGATGTGCACATAGACTTCTGTAACAGCGACCCCTGCCCCAGTGAGTCTTATTTACTTTCATTTACTCTTACATGCTAGTCTATCTGTAAAAATGTCTGTCCTGTATCTCCTTGCTAGTAACGTACCTGCTCTTTTGCCTTATTCACTTTTCCTCTGTCTTTGACATTTCGATTTTCTTTATGTCAGTCAGCGGCAACTGGGCTCCATGGAGTAGCTGGGGCAGCTGCAGCAAGACATGTAACGGAGGTCAGATGAGGCGCTACAGGACATGTGACAACCCCAGACCTGCCAATGGTGGGCGAGCATGTGCAGGCGCGGATACGCAGATACAGAGATGCAGCACAGCCTACTGTCCTGGTGAGTCAGCATGTTTTACACTGTGTCAGGGGTCAACAGAGTTAAGGGTTAGAGAGAGGTTGTATTCATAAAATGCTCTTGAAATGAAAAAAAAGTGGCTGTAAATGTCCCAAATAAACAGAAGTAACATGTTTCTGCATTTCACATTGAATTTACATATACTTTGTAGACTGAAAGATGGCAGTTCCAACATAGGGAAAACATATGTGGAATTAATTTTTTTATCAAAAAGAAAACCTCTTTGCTACAAACTGTGTATTTCCTATTTTTAAGGTGTCCCTTAAATTGACTAAATTACCCCTAAAACTCATATTAATAGACAATGAATAATGCCCTGCTGTATGTCTCATTTTCGATGAATTGTGTGTTAATTTGTTTACTTGTTGTATGTTTTTGGGATATATCATTGCAGTTGATGGTAACTGGGGTTCATGGCAGCCGTGGGGAGAATGCTCTGCTTCCTGTGGGGGTGGAGAGAGGACACGTGTCCGTCTCTGTAATAGTCCGTCTCCAAGCAACGCTGGTCGGCCGTGTCCAGGAGATTCCTCTCAGCTGTCCAGGTGTAACAGTCACGCCTGTCCAGGTAAAGTATATCTGTCAGTATATATTGTATAGTATGTGTACAGTTGAGCGCAGCACTTGAAGCATTGTTGAAAACCTTCTCTTTTTGTCAGGCGGGCCCCAGAAGGCACGAGGAAGCATCATAGGAAACATCAATGATATGGAGTTTGGCATCGCAATCCTCAACGCCACCATCACAGACAGCAAGTCTGGTGGCCGAATCATCAAGGCCATTATTACTAATGTACCAAGGACATTAGGTCAGTTCTCCAGCTGTTTCATATGTTTGAATCTTCTACTTTTAGATGTTGTTCTCTTGAACTATAAGTTACGTAACAAATGAAACACACTCTTCTCCTGCTTTTGATTTCAAGGTCCTGCAATGAGAAAGCTCATCTCAATTCTGAACCCTGTCTACTGGACCACTGCACAAGAAGTAGGAGAGGCTGTCAATGGCTACACGCTAACAGGAGGTATCTTCAGGCGAGAGACACAGGTGGAGTTTGCCACAGGTAAGAATAGACAGGCCCTGGTTTGTCTGTATTACTACTACAATGTGAGCTATTTATATAAATACACATAGTGGGTTCAGTCTGGTGCTTGTGGACTGAACATGAATAAACATATGTGGTGTAATTGGATCTTGGTAGGTGAGATCTTGAGGATGACCCACATTGCCAGAGGCCTGGACTCAGATGGAGCGTTGTTACTGGACATCGTAGTGAACGGACACATCCTGCAGCTTCCCTCACACTCTGACATCAACATCAAAGTAAATAGATAAGTCGAGACTTTGTGGTCTATGTTTATGACTTTAAACCAGATTGTATTTTGTAGAAAATCGGTAAAACCAAACATGAGCCACTTTACTACAAATCACATATCCATTACATTATACATGATTTATAGCAACATGTCAAACTACATTAAAGCTGCCTTACATGTACACTTTGTTGGACTCAGGACTACACAGAGGATTACATCCAAACCGGCCCAGGCCAGCTGTACGCTCTGTCCACCCGCATGTTCAGTATCGACAGGGAGAGTGTACCTTACTCCTGGAACCACACCATCTCCTACGATCTGTCCAAGGGCAAGATGCCCTACCTCGTAGAGATGCTGCACGCCACTGCCATCAGTGCTCACTACCACCCCCTGGAGGAGATGCTGGAGTATAGCATCCAAGCTAGTATCTCCAAAGGTGAGAATACTGGTCTGTAAAAGGACCGAATGAAGGGATACAATTTTAGTGTTAAGTATTTACTTTATGGGCGAGAGGTGGACTGAAAAAGGAAACTTACTTAATATGAAGATCTGTATTTTTCCTCTGTAGTTACTTAGTCATCCAGTCAACCTTTTACATTTGATCTTTCTTTTTTTTACTGCATTCTTATGTCTCAAATGTAATAAATGTAAATGTAATACATTAAATTATGTAATGTTTACATGATTGCAGGAGATCGCAGTAACCAGTGTCCTCAGGGATTCAATTTGGTGTCCGCTGGGCCCTACTGTGCAGGTAATGTTCTCAACTTATTAGGCTGTTCCTACTTTAGGGAGCATCAGTTAAACAACATTGTAGTCTATGACTAGTAATAAAAGTGATACGTGCAGTCATGTCCAACACACATCCATGCAACATGTACATCACACCCCCCCGACGTGATGTCAGCCAAAAATTATGACAACAAGAAAAGAAAGACCCATCCTTTCATGAACAACACGGGCATAGCCTTATTGAAATTGCAACATGTAAATCACAGCACCGTGACTTATCCAGCAGAACTTTCTCATTGCATGCTTAAATCTGTTCTGATTATTTCAATATGTATCGTTTATGTGCTGCAGATGAGAACGAGTGCGAGGTCGGGAACCCCTGTTCTCATGCCTGTCACAACGCCATGGGCACCTACTACTGCTCTTGTCCCCGAGGCCTCACCATCTCAGCTGACGGCAGGACCTGTCAGGGTACACAACTCACACACATACACCAATCAGAATCAGTGCTGTCGGCATTATTATTACCCAAACAGTTCATTGTTTGAATAATTCGATGCTCTTTATTCTCGTAGACATTGATGAGTGTTCACTGGGTGGGAACGTGTGCCATGATGGACAGGAATGTGAGAACACTATTGGCTCTTACCGATGTGTCATGCGCTGTGGGCGGGGCTTCAGACGAACAGCTGATGGCCTCAGCTGCACAGGTACATCAGCAAGCTTTATTGATCAACCTAGCATTTGTTGTGAGTGTTGCTGATATGAAACGTTTTACAATTGTCTTCCTTGTTGCTCAGATGTGAACGAGTGCCAGGAGTCCAATCCGTGCAATCAACACTGTCTGAACACGATTGGTAGCTACCGATGCGCCTGCGAGCCGGGCTTTCAACTCAGGAACCGACGCTGTATAGGTGAGACAGCTTTATCTGTATTATTCATTATAAACTATTTATTTATTTATTTATTTATTTATCACTATTTTTTGCTTTTTCAAATATAATTTAATTACATGAAACAATATAGTCACAGGTCCTCGGCTGAAATAGTTTCCTTTAAACTTTAAACTAGTTCTGGATTTGACCTCTTCTCTTCTCTCTCTGATCACGCCAGACATAAACGAGTGCAGACAGAGGGTTTGTCGATCGGATCAGCAGTGTAAAAACACACGGGGTGGTTACACCTGTATTGACCTGTGCCCCGGTGGTATGACCAAAGGTGCTAATGGGACATGTGTTGGTGAGTATTCACAGAATTTCTCCAGAAGTTGAAGTACAAAGAGATTTTATTTTTAAACCATGATTTACTTCTGTATTCTTTGTGACCTGCTGTAGACATCGATGAGTGCAGAGATGGAACTCATCAATGTCGATACAATCAGATCTGTGAGAATACCAGAGGCAGCTACCACTGCACCTGTCCTCGCGGCTACAGATCTCAAGGAGTGGGACGGCCCTGTATCGGTATGTACACCTCTCATAACCTGTAAACGCATCATCAAGCAAAATGTAAACACGATCCAGTAATTTCTGACATTCAATGGGCTTTATTTGCAGTGATCAGGCAGGTGATACTTCCACTTGCTAGTGTGTATTTTTTGTTAAGCAATCAAAAAGTGTGGAACATTGTTGCGCTGCTCTTCCTTTACGCTTCCCATCAGCTTGCTTGCTTTTGCCAGCATATTTCTCTCTTTGTGTCCGTGACACACTCCTGTTGAAAATCTAAAATAACTCTGCTGTCATCTGCAATGTAGTTTGAACATTATATTCTGCCAGTGCTTGCTTACATCTCTAAAATGCTGCAATTAAACCTGCTGACTAACTCATAACATCAAACACACCCTGCAAAGACTTGATACAATGCATGGTATCAGGTCCTCTAAAGCTCTAGGTTTACGTCTATTGACCTACACTCTCATATATGAGTAAGAGAAAGGTTAAGGACTACAGAGGAATGGAAACTGAAAATGAATGTGTCCTTCTTTGACACATGAACCATAAAAAGACCAGCACCTTGACCTCAAAGCTCCTGTCTGTCACTCTGTTTCCTTTCACTCTCTTCCAATTCTGACTTTTCAAACTGTTACTTTTATGTTTGGATCTGGCTATTTCCTGGAGGTGCTTTGTAATGGCATACACTCACTGACATCATTAACACTGTACGCTGATGTCTGTCTTAGTGACATATTTATCTGGCATGGATTGGATTTTGTACCTGATATCAGATGTGAATTATATTTGATATCATTTCCTCAGATAAAATCTTAACTAGATTCAGAATTGAATTTGAAGTTATTGTCTTCAAAGCATTACTTTTATTTGATATGAGAGGATAATCTCTCATTCAAATTATGTATTTCTAGTCTCAATACATTTCTGTCTTAGTGACATGAAAATGTATTGTTGTACATTGGGGTAATTGTGACATATACCCTTTTTCCCCCCTCATTCTCATCTCCCTTCTCTATTTTCATGGCCCGCACCACCTCATTTTTTCTTTTCATCCATCACCTTTTTCCGTAACTTCTGCATTATTTTTCTTACCTTCCTTCTTTTCTATCACTTTGTCCTCTTGTCTTTTGGTGCTGGTCTTTTCTTTGTGCTGAGGGCAGACATAAATGAGTGTGAGCGGCTGCCACAGCCCTGTGCCCACGAGTGCATCAACACGCCTGGCAGCTTCAAGTGCACCTGCCCCCCAGGTCGCCACCTACTGGGGGATGGCAAATCCTGTGCTGGTCTAGAGCGTCTGCCCAGCTATGAGAGTTTCTCATACGGCTACAGAACGGCACAGTCCTCTCCTGAGCGCAGCTCCTACCAGCAGCTGTACCACAACTTGGCCTCTCAGAGCTACCACTCCTACACAGCCACCACAAGGGGGCGCTACAGGAACCGGAGTCGCAGAGAGACTTTCGTACATTCCTCGCAGCAGGGCTTCCTCGTTTGTCAGCAGGGGTTTGAGTCCAGGGGGGGCTCCTGCCTAGGTAACTATGTAGGACAGGCAGGGTTGAGACGAGGGAGAGGACGGAAGTTAATAGATAAACTGTCCCTTTGCCTATCTGCTGCTTGTAGGTTTGCTGTAAACATGGGACTGTGAGCTTTAAAAATGTGTCTTAATATATAATTTATGTTTCTCTATATCATTCTGTGGCTGTTTGTGTGTTTGGGCATGTGTGTGACACCAACAGACATCAATGAGTGTGAGGTGAGGGACGCCTGTCAGCACGAGTGTATGAACACACCAGGGAGCCACAGGTGTCTCTGTCCTGCTGGTTATCGTCTCATGACCAATGGAAAGACGTGTCAAGGTGAGAACCACCAGCTCCTCCCTGTCTCCTCCCATCATCCTCGTTTCATCTGGTGTTCATTATAGTATGTACTCTAATAACATTGAGCTTTTTGCCGTACCTACAGATATAGACGAGTGCCTGGAACAGAACATCCAGTGTGGAGTGAACCGGATGTGCTTTAACATGAGAGGAAGTTACCAGTGTATTGACACACCCTGTCCACCAAACTACCAGAGGGATCCAGCCACAGGGTAAACCTTCATAGAAATACACTTAACATGCAGATAGTTTTATGTTTTATTTGCAGACGTTTTGAGAATTTCAGGAAATATTTTTCAAATATCTTTTTTTTTCAACGCTTTGAGCCTCATAAATTGAATTACATTCACCTACACAGCTTTGAAGAAGCAGATGTTATCTTATCTTTTCCTCTATATATAGCTGAAACTCAATAGTGGTAGCTACTAGTCTTGAGTCTTTCTAGCTGGGTTAGCTATGGATTCCAAATCCAAAACAATAAAAGCCTCAGATGAAAATAGAGAATTTAAAAGTACATATTTGTCTGCTTTCATCTCCAACGCTGCTGGCTTACAGGTATGCTTGATCTGTGATGAGAAATTGGCATTGTACTACTCATCCTCTCCTCTTTTTTCTGGCTAAAAATGTCTCTTTTGATAGTTTAGGTTGCTGTTCCCTGCTCTAGGTAGACACAGTTTCCCTTTAAATAATAATGTACTCCAGTATATCTATCTTGTTTGTTTTTTTCTGTTTTCCCACACTATACTCAACTGAAACCTGCTGTCTCTGTTACAGGTTTTGCTTGAAGAACTGCCCACCAAATGACCTGGAGTGTGCACTGAGCCCTTACGCCCTGGAGTACAAGCTGCTGTCTCTCCCGTTCGGCATTGCAGCCAACCAGGACCTGATCAGACTGGTGGCTTACACGCAGGACGGAGTGATGCACCCCAGGACCACATTCCTAGTGGTGGACGAGGATGTTACGTTACCTTTCGCCCTGCGAGACGAGAACCTGAAGGGAGTGCTATTCACCACGCAGGCGCTACGGGAGCCCCACACGTACCGCATGAAGGTCCGAGCCCTCTCCTACAGTGAAGATGGAGGCATCGAGTACCAGACGACCTTCATCGTGTATATCGCCGTCTCTGCCTACCCCTACTGAGAGCACTTTAAATGATGCAGGACAAAAGGTGCAGATGATGAATTGCGTCCTCCATGCGCAGCACCACTGAGATAAATGAGAGAGTGGGTGTGGTTTTGGAAAAATTGCCACATCGGTAAACAAACTGAGAGAAAAAGACTTTGTGTTCAGTGTGAGAGAGGCCAGTGAGTGCTGAAGACGAAAGGAAGTAGCTTGATACAAGGCCACAGGAGGTCAACAGAAGGCTTGGATGAAACTGGCTATTTATTGGCTCTAATCCCTGGATTCCTCACCTCAGTCTGTCAGGAGTTTTTCAGTGAAATGTTTGATATTTTGCTTTGTTATTTCCCCCTACCCTTTGAGATTTATTTATAAGATCCACAAGATTTTGCTCGTCAAAGCCAAAGCGTCCACCACTGGCCTCCGAAGTTAGGCTTCAACCCTACTCAAGAAATCTTAACTAGCCTTTTATTTACATCTAACTATTATTAACTTATTGGGAAGTGCTTGAAAAAGAAAAAAAAATGGGCCGTTCCCACTTTTGTTTAGCCTGTTTAGATATGGTGCTCATTTTGGCGACAGAAAACTTGACTGTCACATCTTCTACGTCCTCAGGTAGTGGCCCATCACAAGTGCATCAAATAGAAACCCTTTCCAATCATTACACTGATCACATCATCAATGTGCCATACTGCTCCATCCAATAGTTGATACCAAGATGTATTTTATTTTTAAGAACTTGTACATATGTTTTTTTCCTCATAATGTATTGCCATACTGTACTTATTGTATCCATTTTGTAATAAAAATTTAATAAATGAATATACACTGAACTAAAGCGTAATGTATGTCTGCTCCACTGCTGCCTATTAAGCACGTCACATTTGGGCCTGAGTTTATCAAACACTCAAGAAGCTCTAAAGAGACAACATGGGAGTAAAAAGAGTAATTTTCAAGTCAACAATCTAATATATTTCTGATGTATAAATATATGGACGTAATAATGAAACAACAAAACTTAAAAAAAACCAAATGGATCATTAAATAGATTCTGCTGCTGGACAGACATGGTAACTCAAGGAGAATTTAGTACCACAATTTAGAGTATGTAGATATAATCAATAATTTAAACTATACTATGTTTGCATCGCTTAGAAATGCCTCAAAAGAAAGAGAAATCAGTTAAAGGTCCAGTGTGTAACATTTATGAGATACTATCGGCAGAAATGGAATATAATATCCATAGGTATGTTTTCATTAGTGGATAATCACCGGAAAATGTAGATGTTTTTATCTACGTCTTCTTCTATAGAGGTCGCCATGTTCAACCACCATGTTTCTACAGTAGCCCAGAACGCCTTTCATGTATTTTGCAGACACCGTAGTTTCTCCTACTTTCTTGCAAGGTAAGCTTTATTAAAATTGTTGCAATCTTCACCACTAGATGGCACTACATTCTACACACTGGTCCTTTTAATCAATGGCGAGTACTAACAGGCTAAAACTGTTTCTGAATTACACTTATTTAACTTCAGCTTACATATTACTTATCATGATTAATTATTAATTATTATTAACAGTTAAAACATAAGGTGTGTGACATTTAGGAATCTACTTATAGACAGTAGGGTAAACACAGGCGTTACCAATGATACTAATTAAGGTTCCGATAAATTTAGTGTAGTAGAGCCTTTCCAGTGAGCCAACATGCACAACAGCAGCACTCTGACTCTGTTTGACCTGAATGGAAGACAATCTTAATTAGCATTATTGGTAATAATCTGTGTTTACCTTTATATTTAATGGCTGCTTTGTTTGCCAGTAGGAGTAAAAAGTTAACTAGTTTTCACCCTACTTCATAAGTGTGTGCATGGAAAACATAAAAAAGTCATGAAAAAGTTATGATCAGCATTCATACCTTTTATTTATTTTTTGTCAAAAAAGCACAAACATAAAAAAGGAATATCGAGTAAGGCAGTTTGAACATCAGTTTGGTATGCTCCCTCGTCTTCTCGGCCTCAGCTAGAAGAGCATCTCTGGACTAGAATACATGAAGCAGAAGAAGAAACCAGACCGTTCTCCTCTTTGTTTCCATGTAAAACTAGACGTTACTGCATTAGAAAGAGGAACCTAATGTCTGGATGCATCATCACTGATGACAGTATTCAAACATGAAACCATGTCTAAATATCAACTGGTGACAACTCGTGAGTAAAACACAACTGTGATGATACTGTGTGTGTTTTAGTAAAAAGCGACATCCATTGAGAAATTCCACTCAGTGTTTGACTGGAAATGAGCAGGAACAAAAAACATTAGCTGGAACCGAGTTTCCCTTATCACTACGTCGACATGAGGAGCAAGGCTGCTTACTTTCAAAACAGCAATTTTTTGTTCATTTATCCAGTTTAAAGTTATAACTCCACCACTTTGTTGTTGAAAATTCTTCTCTAACACAAAATGGCAACTAAATCTTCAATGTCAGCTACATTATTTCCATGAAAGCAAAAGAAATCATTTGGCAACAGACAGAATCTACCCTGATAAGGCAGATAAAACCTTTCCTCCTCATTTTATAAAATGTATGGAAATTAAATGGTAGTAACAGTAAGACTTCCAACTCTCAGACAATACCATGTGTGGAGGATTTGTTCGAATGAACGATCATAACTTTGATTCAATACCAAAAACAAAAAAAAAAATCACTTAATTTTTCCAGAAGAGACTCACAAACATGTACAAAAGACATGTATGAAATGCTTGAGAAAATACTTAAAGAGTGGGATCATGCAAATGATATATATATATATATTTTTAAATCCCATAAAATGTCCCTCTCCATTTCCAGAGAGATAAAATGTTCATCATCTTATCTTCGTCTCTCCTGATATCGTCAAATCGTTTAAGCTGTGTTTTGAATTTCAATCAAGTAGGGATTTGGCCATGAGACAAAAATCATTACTATAAAACAATAACAAGGAAAATGTTTAATCCTAGATTATCTTTCTGTTAAATACCAAAATAACAAAACAAAAAAAGCAATCTGAGAAATGATTCTCAGGGTCATTTTCCTGAAAGTACAGACAGACTGCAGCTCCTATAAACAGTACCAGCAGAGCCACATAATGATGCCCCGTACAGAAGCAGACAGACAAGTCAGACATACACAGGATGTGAGGAGCAGTAAAGTAGGATTAATAAGAGTGGTGGTGGAGATGCATCGTGGGTGATAATCCTTAACTGGGGCAGCAGGCAGCGTGGAAGGGTGGATGGATGGATGGATGACACTAACCCCTCCCTTCCTCTGGGTGCATGGCGACCCCCGTGAGCAAATCCACCACCCTCCATCTGTGACTGTGCTTTTCAGGAGACTCCCGCTGCTAAAGTGTTATATCGAGAGGCAATGAGAGGATTTACTGACAGAGAATCAGGCTTTTATTCCATCAGGAAGTCTCTACTGTGGAGAGAACACGAGAGAATGAGTGGGAAAACAAACACAGAGAGAGGTTTTCCTGAGAGAAACAAAGCTGAAACCTTCTGCCTGTTCTGTTTGTTCATACGAGCGTCTAACAATGGCTCCCAATCTTTTATTGGCCACTTTGTGAAACGAAGGAGGTCTGCTTGCAACTCCTTGTCACATGTCTACTGGATTTTAGAGGCATGGAGAGGTGAGAAAAAAGCAAAGATTAGAGGGAAATGTCAAAAAATAAACACATAATTCTGTGTGGCGAGAATGTGTTTTCTGCGTTCTCTTAAGATCGATCTCCTCTAGATTGGGAACAACTGGTGTGAAGAATGAGCGCATACTGTACGGGAATGACATGGAGACAAGGGGAGAAGGGGAGGAGGGGAGAGGGAGGTACTGTGAATAGATCAGGGACGCAGCACAGACACATGGGGTGTGAAGTTATCTGTAGCACCCTGTGAGGAATATGATTTAGTAGGCTGTGATCAAGCATGGGAAGAAAGAATAAAACCTTTTTTTTTATAACCTGATGTGACCCAGATTTTCTTTTCTTTTTTTAGTATAGCCTTGAACGCAGCAGGATTTCACATAAGGTTAGAAAAAAATATCTGTTTTTTTCTCCTTGTAGTCCCTACGCCATCTGTTAATTACATGAACAGTACAGTGCAGATGCAGTCGTCCTGTATCTGTCAGCGATGTGGAGGGAAGCCGAATCCTCCGCTCCCCTTTTAGACCGTCTTCCTCGCTGTTAGTACCCTGACGATGCTGCCCACTCCTCCAGCTGCCAGAGCCTGGAGACACAGGAAGACAAATACTGTCAGGTCTTTTCTTAGTCTCTGGTAAATGCTGGGAGCTCATCCTGCACTCAGACTTATCATTTAGTCTAAAATTTACCTTTTTAAAAAATATTCATACTTTATTTCAGCGTTAACTGCTGATTACGTCATCGATCTGTCACCATTTCTGAACCTTTATCAATTTTTTTTTTTTCATATTATAGTAACATTATTTCTAAAACTACATCTAAGAGAAACCTAATCACCGACTTTATGTTTGAAACACTTTACCAACACATTCTTGATAATGTGGAACCACTTCTTCAGACCTCAGACATTATTCAAATATCACCACTTTCATCTCAAGTGTCTGTCTCGCTCTAGTCAGGACAGTTTTCTATATCGACTAAAATCAATGAGACGCACTGATGCGATTGGTATCAGAGCCAATACGGATCTCTATTCTCTTTTCAAGAAATCCAATTCCAGGAGTTTTTCATGACAGTTCAGGACAGCACTTGCTCACGGTCATATAATTTACCAGTAGGCCCAGTATTGACTTTAATTCCAGTTGTATGTCTCTTTAGAGTTTCAGGTTCATTATGACACAGAAAAGACCGCCGCAAGTCCGTTCCACTTCTCCTACGGGGGGATTAATAAAGGAACATCTTATCTTATGGATTACGATCGTTTCAGACAACGAGGTATAAATATTTACCTTTTCGTGCCACTGCAGTAGGACCGCGCTGCTGTTTTCTGACGGCCTCTCGAAGCCTTTGTAGATGTATTTCATCAGCAGGTCCACGCCGTTCTTGTCGAGGGACTGCACCCCTTTCTCAATGTCACTGCTCTTAAAGGCACTGAGCACCTTCAGCACCAAACCCTCAGCACGGTCCTGAAGAGAAAGAGGAACATATTTATATATCAGCAGACATCGCCATGCTGTAGGCGCACAGGATCTCCTAGAGTATGTGTATCAAGACAGATCAATACCTCTATTGTGTATCTCAAAAGGAACCTCATCTTACAAATGCCATCAGTAATTTCATCATTCAAGAGTGTAAAAGGCTACAGAGTGATTCTGATGATCAAACCAAACCCACCTTGACGTTCTGGTTCTTTGTGTTGATTGGTGGGTTCTTCAGAACTGCTTGTAAAGCCTCCATGAGATTTCCTGTGCAGGGAGGGTTAAGGAACCAACAGCACAGCAGGAGCCCACCGCCTGTATCACAATATCGGCTACAAGCCCCAAAAATATCACATAAGCCCAACATCAAGCCGTCACAGCTCTGTGTGTTAATGACCATTAGCTTCTGACTACAATCGAATCATCAGCTGGTCGTCAGTCATTAGAATAAGATCTGGTGAGGGAGGTTTTAAAGACTTGAGACCTGTCACAACTGTCTCCACTTCCAAAAGCGAACTGAAAACATTTCAGTTTCCTCAGAGTTATGATTAGTAACTGGAGGCGTGTGTCTGTGCATGTCTGTGTGATTTATGTCTGCAGGGTAGCTGTCGGTTCCTCATCTTTGGGTGCGAGTTTGCACATTTAAATGTAAAGCACGCTGACTTTACTTGTAATGAAATGAGTGATATAACTAACATAGGCTCCCTTTTATACAGTCATACAAATGAACACCTAAAAAGTCTTAAAGTCTGTCTTGAAACAACACTCACATGTCCATATGTACACTGAACGGTTACTGCTATAACCGCTATATCATCCCTTTTGTCCACGCTAGCTGTGAAGAGATCACTTCTTAGTGCAACTAGAATGTAAGACGACACAATTAATAATCCTCGTTCTGGTAAACATACATGTTAAATGTTCTGCAGGAGCACAATATTAGGATTCAGTACTCAATCAATAAAGTATCTTCCACAGTTAAAGTCATAGTTTGTTTCTGTGGGGAGCTACAGTGATGTGCTCGTAACACAAACATTGAATTTTGTTCTCTTCACTTCTTTTTATGCTCTTATGTTGACTACTGCAGAGCTATCCTGTATTTCTCCTCCACTGTAACATGAGGTGGGAGGTAACAGTCTTATTCAATGAGGAAGTGGAGCACTTTCATGCCTTATAAGGCCTGTAAAGCTCAGCTGGTCTGCAGACTACACACAACGCAGCAAAAAGCCTCTCAATGAACACTCATAAATGTGCAACTGCAACTTTCATGTGAGAAAAGAAAAGAATGATTTTTAACCACATGAGCCAAAAAAGAAAAAAACCTGCTGCAACTCTCATCCTCCTCAGCTAACTGACAGAATAAAACACAATAAAAGCTAAAGACGGTCAATGAAGGCTTTTATAAGATTAAATGGTGGACTTTTAGTTAATAGCGTGCAGTTAATAACACATAACAGAGAGTCTGGACTGTGTTTGGGGGGCAGAAATCCCAGGAATGTGACTGCCAGGCAAGTCTGGACAGTAACTGGCCTACTTGCACACACACACACAAAAAAACGCCCATTCATACACACAGGCAGGCAGACAGACAGGCAGACAGACAGACAGCAGCCATTATAATAAAAAGACAGAGCAAATATCCAGATAAACCACAGCACTTGAACACAACACCATGAGGCAGACATACTGAAAGACAGGCTAGCTAATCACGTAAAGGATATTGTCTGATGAGGGAGTCCACCTCTGCCTCGTCGGGACCCAGCTGGTTTTCTCCTCCGTCCTCCTCGTCCACGAATTTATTCTCGTCGTACTCGTCCACGTCCACTCGCCTGAAGCGGGCGGACACGGTGTTCTTCGACATGTCGGCGGTGGAGGTTTATTTTTATTTACCGAGTTGGAGCTTCAAGTCAGGCCTTTCTTTTCTTTTCCTTCCTTCCTTCCTCACTACGGTGCTTTTATTCTTTGGTGCGGCTGTCACAGGCAGGCAGCTTCCTGACTTCTTCCCCCTTTTTTTTTTTTTTTTTTGCTCTGTGTGGTTTCTGCTTTCGCGTCCACGACATCGCCACCTAGTGGACAACTTATGAAACTGTCAATGAGTGGGTTTAACTTAATAATTACTTAATAACACACATGTTTTCCAATAAAAACACATGTTTAACAATTAAAAAATGTGTTTTATTTATATTATTTTTTTGATAAAACACCTGGCACCTTCAGGTTGTTTACCAAAACTATCTTTAATAACATCTGAGAAATAATGTAGGTAACAGGGCTGAATGTATATACGCTATGTATTTAAACTAGTACATGAAAAACTGCTGCAATCAGTATGTATATACTTTATATATATTATATGTATGTACATAAAAATACATGCACAAGAATATTCATTGCAATCCTTTGTACTCTTTTGCACTACTGTCTTATTGTTGTTGTTTATGTTTATATAATGTATATACATATCTGTAAATAGTAGTTTATGTCTATTTTGATGAGCTTGTTGTCCTGATTATTAGGTTGTTGCTGTTAAACTGGAGTCATATTCCTTGTATGTGTACACACGTTGACGTTCTCTCTCATACTTAAACAATATGATCAAAAATACGGACGTAAAGTGAGATGAATTACTTTTGGTCTTTGTAGCCTTCAGAAGACTCAAATGATCCTACTTCCTGTTGGTCATGTGAAGTTTCCCAAATTCCTAGAGGGGGAAATGTGTCACTGAACAGGACTGAAAACCTGGGGACATAACTTTATTTGTTTCTAACTAACATGTTATGAATTTAAAATGAATATATGTCTAAATTATAAACAGAGTCACACAATTAATATATTTCATGGTGAAGTGTTAGAGAGTGGGGGATGGAATGAAATGTGTTTATGTAATTTTTATTAAGGTTTTACATGTTGTATCTTCAAACTGCAGTTGTAACAAAGTGCAAGACACTTTGCTTAATAATATAATGTTTTATACAAACAGCTTTCATGCATGTTTATGTATGTAATGTCCTCAGGGAAAAGGCAGGTCGCCATCTGTATTTCCCATTGTTGGCCGCCAGAGGGCGCACTAACATAAGGAATTAAACCACTCTGACAACATTTATTTTATTCAATGTGATGAGTCAACACATTTTTGACAAAGCTTGAAAATTACTCTGTAAAATACTCTACTTGTAAAAAAAACCCTCAACATTTATTTATTTAACAGTTTAATTATTTTTTTATGTGCATTTTATCTCCACACATTATAATCTAAATACAGATAAAGAGTCTCTAGGTTTTGCATAAAAATACAATAAGAAACAATATATGTGTGTGTGTGTGTACTTGTAGAATGTATAAACTTCTCCTCATGTCATGAATCCTCTCCAGATCCAGAAATATTACCATAGACATGACCTTTGTGTCCTCCGTGGTTCCAGCAGCTCTTATTTTTATTGTCGCTATTTGTCTGTAATTATCATCAGTTTTGCTATATTATTAATATGCATATAACATTTACTGTCAAAAACAAACATTTATAAATCTAAATAGGTCTATTCCAGTCCTTTAGCCGTTTTTCTTAGTCTTTGAAAACTGATTCCAAATAGGACATTAAAAATATTTTGTGTGCTAAGAAGAGGGGAAAAAAACATGCAAATCACAAACTTTATGTTGCCTACTTTATTTAATATTAATTATTTTGACCCATTTGATGTTTATTCTGTCTAACAACCCTTTATTGTGTTGGCGAAATCATACACAAAACGAACAGAAACAGCTCATGATCCACACTTAAAGGCATACTATGCAGTTTTCCGGTTTTGTCAAACAGCTCCCCCTAGAGTCGCTGCGGAGTACTTTTATTGAACGTTAACTGTCATAAATACCACTCACCAGAGCCGTCTCTATATACGGCTCTGCGTCTCTGCACTCACGGCCTGATCCCCTCCCCCCTGTATACTGGTACATGTTCAGTAGGATGGAAGTGTCGGACATCGAACAGGCAAAGATAGACTCCGAAGATGTCTACTGACCAGGTAACGAGGAGTGTCTAGCGCTAGTGTCTCCCACTGAGGCTGCTTCTTATGTCGCTGATGTATGTGACGTCGCGCCGTAAAGCAATTCGTGATTCTCGCAAGATTTGGCGGGGCGCCACCTTTCAGACTTGCATTGCTGGTTCTGCCAACGGCGTCCCTCTCCTGCTTTGCTATCGGGATGATTCGCTATACTACGAGTTCGTTTACCATCGAAATGACTTCGAAGCTGTTATATTAAGGTAAAAATCTTGCATAGTGTGCCTTTAAGTACAGACAATCAAACAAAAATAAAAAAAAAAATATGTATTGAATAAAAATACAAATAGAAATCAATGTAATGTAAAATGTTGCAGTGCAGTAGAAGTGAAAAATGATGCAAAACATTCTGAGCATAAACCATTATGATAATCCAGAGAGCCAATGAGTGCCTCTTTGAAGTGTCAAAGCAATCTTCAGCAGTGTGTTTGACTCTGTTTCAAGAATAACCTAAAATACAAAGCATGGACAAACCCAATTCACACACACAACTTGCAGAACCAGTCAGTTGCATTCGGTATCATACAGAATAAGGTTTAAGGAAGTATGCTTTTTTCCCAGACTAAACAATGCACACACACACACACACACACACACACACACACACAGACAGACAAACATAGGGGTGCTGTGTGTGCGTATAAATCACCCCTATGATTAAGTAGACATTTGCTCTAAGAGGATTTTTATCTGCAGGAATTTAAACACATGATCTACACAGCCAGCAGTAGTGAGTGAGTGTGTGTGTGTGTGTGTGTGTGTGTGTGTGTGTGTGTGTGTGTGTGTGTGTGTGTGTGTGTGTGTGTGTGTGTGTGTGTGTGTGTTGAGTCACCGCGTCTACTGACCATTTAACTGCGGTGGTATAAGTATTTATTCAAAAGCGCTCCCACAGACCACCACGTCAGCTGCTGCTGTGATGTTGGAGTTTTCCTGCGTCACATGAAAGTGCATTTCCCTCCATACAGGAAGTCAGACACACTTTCCATGTTGCTAATTCACACACTCATCACAAGCTGGAATAAACACAAGCAAGTCAAGCTGGCAAGAAAAATGGGTGAAAGTTTTGGCTCCTTCCAGCGCTTTTCATCCACAAACTCACATGAGCTCATGTTAAATTCTGGCTGGGAGTCATGTGATGTTGCTATGGGTACCAGACACACAAGGATATTGGTATGGATCCTGACCAATAAAAACCAGTTCATAAAACGCAGGCCTTTTCTGGGAAGTTGTGAAAGTGGGACACACCTACGTTTCACTGATGCCTCTTTTTTTCTTTTGTTGGAAGTTGGAATTCTTAATTTCCTTATCTGTCTAGACTGCTGGGCCTCAGGAGGAGAAAGGATAACCCCAGATAATGAATTTCCCATTGCGGATTTCTCATTCCCTCAAACAGACGCACACACATACACACACGTGTCTTTGACTTCATTCTTTGTGGACAACCTAACCTCAACTTAACCTAAATTTAACACTGTACCATTAACCCTAACCAGGACCTCAGAAATTACACTTTGCTGCATTATGACTGACTATTAACACTTTGTTCCCCATGAGGACTACTGGGGCCCGTTTCAGAAAGCAGGTTTAACAAACTCTGAGTTAAACCTTAACTCTAGGTTGACCAACTCTGAGCTGTCAAACTCTGAGTTTTCGGTTTCAGAACAGGTGATAACACTTAGTTCAATCAACTCTGAGTCAAGGTAACCCTGAGTGAAGCCTGTGCATGAGGATATAAAAAGCCCTCATCAATGGAACACAGACAACATGATTCACCATGGCAGCAAGTGACAAAAAGCCTCGATCCTCCTACTTCTCCCCAGTGGAGTTGGAAATATTAATGACCACATATGCAGAAAGTGAGCATATATATTTTTTAAAAAGCAATACTGTGGCAGCAGCAAAAGAGCGGGTGCTCGCGTGGCAGAAAATTGCTGACCGAGTCAATGCGTGAGTATTAATTGGAGAAAAAAAGAAATGTTTTGTCTTGAATGTTTCACTTATTCAACAATTATATTTCATATGTGTGTTTGTGTGCACAGGTGCAACCCTACAGGCACCAAACGGACTTGGCAGCAACTAAAGATGAAATATAAAAATGTAGTTCAAACAGGTAAGGTATAATGTAAGTACAAGCAATTGTGATGCTGTTTAGCCTGCCCTCATTAAACAGCATTTAGTGGCTACATTCAACATGTGACAGATATATTTAAGTAATTAGGGAAATCTGCTAAACAAAGAAAAATCCCAACACTGCCAGTAATTAATATTGTCTACATGAAAGCAGCACCTAAATACCTTTTATACATACAAGTCTCCAAATGTGTGTTTTCTGGATATGTTTAAATTTGACCTCCATTATAGCCAACAGAAAAAAGGCTGAGGCCCGCAAAACAGGTGGCGGTTAACCACCACCTCTCACAGAGGCTGAAGTGATGGCCCTCAGTCAGAACAGTGGGCGACCCATTGCTGAGGGCATAGCTGTATAGTGAAGTATATTTCATTTGGAATGTTAATACTGCTACTATTTAGGCCTACCTGTACATTAATGCTGTGGACGGATCTCTTTTCACATAATCTCCTTCATTTATTGAAGGAGCTATGATAGGAATGTGAGTGCCATCTATGCAGCCAATCACACCTGGAAACCCTAAAATATATCAAATAGACTGATTAGTGCTTCAAGTTTTATGACATAAACTAATTATTGCTTAGACTGATACCTGCAATTCTGTGGAACTCTTCTTTGAGAAGTCTGGTGGGTCTGTGACTTGGGAACACAACAAACGTGTATAGTAGCCGTTTCAGTGCAAGTGTCATATTTCAGACAGCCCGACAGACAGTTGCCTTGGACACATTCTCTGCATCACCGATGTTATACAAAAAACTGCTGTTGGCAAAAAAGCGCAGTGCAATACAAAGAATTTGCTCAGAACCACGATGTGTCATGTGAACG